AGTAACATAGTTTCCGCGCTATTAGTAAAATAAATATCTGTTCTGTCCGAAACCTACTTGGTAACTGCCGAAATATCTTCAGCGGATGGTTTAGTCATTTCAAGATATTATCTTATAGCTTGTAGACAATAGGAATATTCCTCTATAATTTTCACATTTATTCTTGTCTCCTTTCTTAAAAATGGGTATTAGTAATGACTCATGTGGTAATTTCTCCATCTTCCAAACTTGTTTTATTAATTCATATATCTTTAAAAGTAATGCATGGCCACCTTCTTGTATAAGTTCAGCTGCAATTCCATCAGCACCAGTTGCATTATTGTTTTTAAGCCCTGTTATGACATACAGTACTTCTTCAAAATAAGGCTCTTCAGTATTTTGTTCACATGTTAGTATCTCTTCCTGTGGATAAGTATTTAGTGGAGTTTAACAATTTAACAAATCAGAAAAGTTGTATCTCCATCTGCAACACATTTCCTCATTATTATTGATCATGTTCCCATTGTTATATTTAAAACCATACTCAACCTTGAAGTCCTCATCTTCAATTCTTTAAAAATCGTTATGAATTCATTGTTCTGATGGTTAGCCTATAAATCCATGACAATATAGTTACCTTTTGCTGCCTCATTATTTTTGTAGCTTCTTTACATACTGTTCTATTTTGTTCTTCATTTCGTATGTTGCAGTATCATTTAGCCATATCTGCCTGGCATGTTTTTTCTTGCTGACTGCTTCTTCACATTTTTTTTTTTTTTAATCAAACCATTTGATCTTTCTGTGTATGCTTGACACACCAAGACATTTTTCTGCAGTGGTTCAAATTATATTCTTAATACCCATCCAGGTTTGGTCAAAATTTTTCTCCAACAGATTTTGTAAAATTTCAGTTTTACATTTCTAATAATTTCTCTGAGATGTTTGTTGTTTGTAGTCTTTCTCTATTGTAGTCCCGATGTGATCTTTGCAACTTGGTGTAGAAGGATCTCTTAAACATTATTTTTAATTTTGTACCAACCAGGAAGTGGTCACAATGGCCTTCAGCTTCTAACTTATTGTAAGTTCGCTGCATTTCTATTATTTATTAAAATGTGATTTATTTGAAAATAAGTTATCTTGTCACAAGGTTGCCAGGTTTGTTTATGTATATTTTTTCTTCTTTGAAATCTGGTGCTGCTTATCTGTAGCTCTTTGGCTTGACAACAAATTTTGTCCCTAGTTCATGTTTTTTTTCTAGAGTGTTTCCTTCATATAAAATTATCATTTCATTTTCTTATATGGTACCTTGTCTTGGGCATCTTATTTCTTAAATAGCTCTTATATCCATTCTGTAATCTGATTAGTCGCAGGTGAGTTTTTCAGCTGCTTCAGCTTTATAAAGCCTTTTTTTTGTATTTTAAATCTGGGTAATCTCATCTCGTCTACAAAATAACTTGCCCGAAACTGCTAAAAAAAAAAATGTTTTACACATCTTTCAATTGTACATTAAGATAGGATTTATAAAGCGTTTGAGAATTCTCTTTCTCGTCTTGACAAAGAAATATAGCATAGAGTATTCAAAAATGTTTGATATCATTGTATTTATAACCTATGATTTATAATTTTAGATGTTAAAAAAGCAACTGAACATTTTGTTTCTGCTAATGATTCTGTTTTGTTTCTATCCACCATTGAAGACTGGTGGGAATGTTCAGTTATATTTGTCTTTTTCTTGTCCATGGTTGAATTGTCTAATTCATTTTGTGTTGTTAGTTTAACCAAGGCTTATGTTTCAGAGTATGTCAGTTATGTTGTGGCTCAAGCTGGCAAAATCTGGTCAAAAAAGTCACGACACCATCAACAACATCGAACAATGAACCCAGTCCTCTTTGTTGGGTCTTCTTTTTTCTTCCACCAGTGGACGTATGAAGTCATGGGGAATCTTCAGTAAGAGAGAGATAGACACAAAGAAAGATTAAGGAAGGAGTATAGTGGGGGAGATTATAATTGGAACAAAACACCTTCAGATATTTTTTTTAAAAAGACACTTTTCAGGTCCATTGGTGTGTTTTCATTAAATGTACATACTGAATGAGAGACAGACATGAAGACACAGCTTGGATAACAGAGACTAAACGAGAGGTAAAAAAAATAACAAACGGAAATTTAGTTAATTGAAAAAGTGATGGCACTGTGGGAGGAATTTGGTGTCAGAAATTATAACTATCTAGTATCAACAGTGATTACAAGAACTATTGGAACCATACCCATCGTTAAATTTATTGAGAAGCAAAGAATGAAATGGTTTGGTCACCTAATGAGAATGGAACCAACGATGCCAGCATCAAGAGCATACAACATGAAAATCGAAACAACAAGAGGCAGGGGAAGACCAAGAAGAAGATGGATTGAAGGAGTCACGGACAACTTGAGACTTCATAACATTACGGCATATGAAGCGACTGAGCGCGCCCTGGCTCGGTTGCCGATCATCTGATAGACTGCGACGCCTAGCGGCACAAGCAGATTTTGACAAAAGAAGAAGAAGAAGAAGTATCAACAGTTGTAAGACAGGGAATATAACACTTTATTCAACACATTCTGAGAAGAGACAAGCAAAGAATCTACAAACAGGCACCGAAATAGGGAGCCAAAAATGGGTTAAGGAGGCGAGGATGCCCAAAAGAAACTCTAAAATAAACACTGATAGAGAGACCAAAGGCACTGGACTGGTTTCAATCCATGACATTGAACTGACTGCACAGGATAGAATGGAATGGAGGAATAGACTGCGAGCACTATGTGACATTATAATGACACAACAAAACAATGAATAAATTCAATTTAAAAAAAACAAACACTATTTAGGTTGCCAATGTATTTTTTAGAAAGAAAAAAAAAACCAATGCAATTTAATTGATGACAAACAATGCACATTGTTAGATTAACTATCAAACAATGCTGAAAATGGACCTTCTTAAAAGCTGGATGGCTCTGCGGATACCTGTACAACTTGTATCCAATATGTACTGAAACCCGACAAACAGATATATGTTTTGCATTCTTTTCTACCTGGCCTTCGCATCCTTTAGTCAAAAATAACCAAACTGGTGTGTAACGTAATGAAAAAATCCGAAAAAAATACAAAATTTTTGGTTAAATATGAAACATAAAACGGGTTATGAGAAAGACATACGGCAAGAAGAAAAAATCTCCAAATTCAACAAGTGAACGAAAATAAACAGGCACAGAAATAGCAGGATTCGTGGGAATAAAAACATGACTGTAAAGAGACATCGTGGAAGACATTTTATGGTAAGAATCCCATCCAAAACACAGAATTCTGGCTAGACACAACAAGCATTGGAATCTACCTGTTTACAACATCAAAGCCTGGCTACATTCACACAAACTCCACATAAACTGTTTAAAACTCCCATTTACATTCATCTATTTGTAAAAGTGTCAAGCAGTGTTCTTCAATGTTTTTTACACCTGCTGACTCAAAATAGATTGGAAATTGTTATGCAGACTATTATAACATCTAGTTTGAGAATGTAGGTGGAGGCAGTCATTGCAACTTTCCTCTGGTTTGAGAGCCAGATGTGCAAACATTCCGAGTTGTAACTGACTCGCAGAGCAAGCTGAGAAATGTGCAGACATGTACGCTCCATGCAGAGTGGTCAGCATCGCTTCAGGGGTCCCGGGTCGTTAGCGTTCTCTGGATATTTCTCCAGGTCATGCCATGTGTTGGGAAACAAATGAGACAGACAGACTGACTGGTTCTTCACTACAGTGATGCATGACAAGCCAGCTCCTTTAGGAGCAAGTGCAACAAAGACAGAGATTTGTATCACAGCAGCAGTCCATAATGTAGTAGAAACCAAGTTTTATAAATTATTATGTTTTAGAAACCATTATGCCCGCCATTCAACAACTCAAACCATAAAACACTCCATTCAACAACTCAAACCATAAAGCACTCCATTCGACAACTCAAATCATAAAGCACTCCATTCAACAACTCAAACCATAATGCACTCCATTCAACAACTCTAAACACTTCTATTTGAGATATTAATAGGAAATGTATGAACTTAATTTATAACTAGAAATTGAGTGAGTTCAAGGTATCCATTGAAACAGAGCGAGTTCAAGGTGTAACTAGGAATTGAGTGAGTTCAACTTATCACTGGGAACTGACTGAGGTCAGGATTATAAATAAAAACATCTAATAATCAAATAGCAATAGTCAATCAATGCATTGTTTGACAACTACGTAACTTATAACCTGCTAAAGAACATGCGACTGTTTAAAATGCACCTATCATTACCATAAGTTTCTGACCTGTTCATCAACGGCAACAGTCAATGCACCGATTTCCTACCACACATATAACTGCTATAGAACAAGCTACTGTTATAAAATTTACCAGTTTTGAATCATAAATTTCCCCACTAGTTTATCAACTGCCCCTTTATCATTTTTAGTGTAAGAAGAAACCTGAAAATTAGGTTAATAATTTAAACCACAGTACAAATGTAATAAATTTCATCTACTCTTTATTACATGACTCGGCCACCAAGACCAGTTTCACTCTGCGTGTTAATTGCTATTATCAGTTTCATACTCTTTTAACAAAATGTAAAAATTATTATCAGTGTTACAACACCTTCTTCACAAAATATACAAATTACCTTTACCAAACACCTTTTACAAAATAACCAATTACCCTCACCAAACACCTTTTACAAAATATACTGATTATCCTTACCAAACACATTTTACAAAATATACCAATTACCTGTACCAAATACCTTTTACAAAATTTACCAATCTTTATTATTAAATACATGTGAATAATTGTAAACAAGGAGACGTACAGAATAATAAACTCATCACAATCAAGGTAGGTTCACAAAGCGGCAATGACATGGCAGGGCAAGGCAATCATCGCTAGCCATCGAGACCCTGCAGAAGTGTGCCCGAATCACAAAACACTCATCCCCTTGATCATTACCTAAATATCATACTCAGCCTTGACCTCTCGCTCTCGTTCTCCATCACAAATCTTCTGAGGCTGTCTGACCAGGTAAAAGCTGCCAATATGCACCTTGTCTGAAGACATGCTGAACCACTCGCTGTTCCGAACCCTGTTCAGGGTGTACCTTGAACTGGGCACATATGCCAGCATCCCAACGAGAAGTTCCTTGACCTGAAATTGCCACACAAGGAGGGACTGTAAGCTAGCAGGTATGTCATAAAAGGTGGCTCGCTGCCTCCTCCTGTACCCACATTAAGCTGCCAATTTCAACCAACCATGAACTCCTTGTTAGAATTCAGTGACTCTCAACTCTGGCAGAATGTCCTAGGTTTGACAATGTGAGCTATGGATTTCATTCGGATTATTTTTTCTGTAGTGTTTGCGGTGTTTTGCTATACTAAAATGGCAGGTGGCCAATTACGTTTAGAATGGAGTGAACTTTTCCGGGTGCAATGCCAAGTTTTTTTGAATGACTGTAAGCTCCAACACTGACCTGCGATTCTGGTGTGAAACCATTAGTGTTGGCAGATCTGACAGCTGCCTTGCGCATTTTTACTCTACGTGTGAAATCTTCAAGATGCAGTTGGGACTGACAAGTTTTTCGCTAGTTTTCAGATGAAACAGAGAATATTTTTTATGATTTTCACTGGCATCAGAAGGAAGCAGTTACGGGGCAACTCATTTGCAGTGCTACTGGAACCTTGACTAACCAGAAAGTCCTTGTTATTCATTTGCTTCTGGACTCTGACCTTATTCCAGAAATTGAGTGGGGTTCCTTGCCTCTAAGGTAAATGAGCTCTGACTTCAATGAAAAAGTCAATCCTATCTACGCTGGCCAGGCCCCCAGGTAGGCAGCCTTTCTAGCATGACCAGAAAGAAGGTTTAAATAGGTCTCCTGACCATCACATGTGGTTCAGCACCAATCATAAACAAGTCTTCAAGAGAGGACTGATGAGAGAGATAGCGAGAGAAAAAGAGCACATGCAAAATAGAGAGAGAGAGAGAGAGAGACAGAGAAAGCGTCATTAAACATTTTTATGCTGGGGCAGTTGAAGTTTGGACCAATACACAGTTTCCATTCTTTTGATTTTCATATTTTCTATGTTTTCTTCATAGCGTTCACCGGCTGTAAACTTGGGACTACTGTCCATTTGTTTGTATTACCATATATTTCGTCCTACCTTGACTGAAACCTGGTCCCAAATTTTAAGCTGCTTTTTTCAAGTGATACAGTGTTTTCACCATCTCTATTTCATTTTCTCCTATATTCTATCAGCTGCATACCAAGTATTCTTACTGTTCCTCAGACAGTAAAATGTTCTTTTCACTTTCTTATAATTTTTTCTTGTTCAAACTGAAAAGAAGCATGGTTGCTTTACACCAGATTTTATCTGAAAGCAGTCTTATTTCTGCCTTTATATGTTACAATGCTAAGAGAGTCTTCCATGCATAGACTGTTAACCTTCTTCTTTGCATTCACCGCAAACTCAAGGGAAAAGTTTTGATTGTTTGTCCACCTCTGGTCTCTAGTCTTGTTCCAAAATCTGAGTGTCGTGTGCCCATTCAGTTATCAGATTTGACTTATCTGTATGCAGATTGTTGGTTTCTTGCCTCTCAGGTAGATGCACTCTGACTTCAAAGAAAGCCCCCGATAAGTTGACTCTTATGATATGCTTGTCGGGAAGGCACTGGGTCTATTCTTGTTTTCCCCTTTTTTGGGGCCCTGGAACCCTCACAGGGAAGACTGGTAATGCTGATTAACATCTTTGGTATTCCAAGTTTCTGCGTAGTATTCCACAAACTATGTCTACGTACACTATTATTTGCCTTTTCAAAATCCACCTTATAATATACCAGTTTTTTTTGTGTGGTACGTAGTACCGTATCTATTTTAGGCATCATTTTATCATCGCTACTGTTACAGATACTTTATGGTAAGCACCAGCATTAATTTTAGACACGCTGTGGCAGGTACCAGCACCTTTTGTGTGTGTGTGCCCTAAACTATTAATTAATGAACCTACTTTGCCAGTCAACAGTGTTTTACCCGTGTTCAAATTACCTTACTGTGAATACAAACAATCTTCACATTACCTTACATAAAAACAAACTGTTATCAATGAGCCTTTATCTTACAGGTAACCAAGTAATGGGGCAACATTCTCCCCTGCTGACACACAAGCAGATACCCCGGAGTACTAAAGTGAATCTTATCAGAACTATTTTTTTGCCAACACTATGCTATCAATGCCAAACGTGGACACTTACATCCTCCAATGAACGTAAAATTGTGACAACAGAGATGAAATGCCTTAGAAGAGCTGCAGGAGTTTCAAGGAAAGACAGAACACAAAATCACGAACTCAGACGAATGCTAGGAATAAAGCTAGTCTTACAAGTCATCAAAGAACTAGAAATGAAGTGATTTGGACACCTAACAAGAATGCCCTGGTGTTATCTGCCACAGCGAGCCACACTAAAACATTACAACTGGTATAGAGCGAGTGGAAGACCTCGAAAAAGATGGAGTGATGGCATTAAGAACAGCCTTACAGAAATAAACATCAGTCCTAATAGTGCTCTTTACAGAGCTCATCAAACAACGTTAAATCTCCCACCGACACTTTGCTGAGTTACCAGGTGGAAGAGAAGAAGAAGAAGAAGAAGAAGGTCCACTTCATCACAACTATTTTACCTGAGGGGTCAGCACCATGACCGACATAGGAGGAAGAACCAATGGCTTGAGAGCGCGTGCTTCCTCTAGAGTCTTGATCCTTCCATAGGGAAGTCGACCCACAACCATGTTGTACAAGACAGCACCCAGTGACCACAGATCAATTTGTCTTGGGTCATAAGGCTGCTTTAACAGCATCTCTGGAGCCTGCAGACAACAAATATATTATCATTTATGTCTGTGTTCTCCGGAGAGTTTATAGTATCAATGGTTACAATATATTCTTCCTTCATAGAATCATTTTCTTCAGAATATAGTGACTTAGCTATACAATATTTTTGTACTGGCGCTTTTGATTAATATGTCAAATAGGCAGGCTCAAGGTTTTCAATTGTGGGAAGTTTTTTGCTTCTGACAATTAGCCTTTGCATTTTCCATACACAGAATACGATGTGTCACAAAGACTAAAAGGGCCTGATGATACTGTCTCACACTCGCATAAACACAAATACTGGGGAATGTAACAACAGTACCAAACACCCATGACACAACTTGACAATGCTGCCAAACACAGGAACATGATAATAGTGTTGCCACCCAACACTGGGAAATGTAACAACAGTACCAAACACCCATCATACAACTTGACAATGCTGCCACACACAGGAACATGATAATAGTGTTGCCACCCAACACTGGGAAATGTAACAACAGTACCAAACACCCATCATACAACTTGACAATGCTGCCACACACAGGAACATGATAATAGTGTTGCCACCCAACACTGGGAAATGTAACAACAGTACCAAACACCCATCATACAACTTGACAATGCTGCCACACACAGGAACATGATAATAGTGTTGCCACCCAACACTGGGAAATGTAACAACAGTACCAAACACCCATCATACAACTTGACAATGCTGCCACACACAGGAACATGATAATAGTGTTGCCACCCAACACTGGGGAATGTAACAACAGTACCAAACACCCATCATACAACTTGACAATGCTGCCACACACAGGAACATGATAATAGTGTTGCCACCCAACACTGGGGAATGTAACAACAGTACCAAACACCCATCATACAACTTGACAATGCTGCCACACACAGGAACATGATAATAGTGTTGCCACCCAACACTGGGAAATGTAACAACAGTACCAAACACCCATCATACAACTTGACAATGCTGCCACACACAGGAACATGATAATAGTGTTGCCACCCAACACTGAGAAATGTAACAACAGTACCAAACACCCATCATACAACTTGACAATGCTGCCACACACAGGAATATGATAATAGTGTTGCCACCCAACACTGGGGAATGTAACAACAGTACCAAACACCCATCATACAACTTGACAATGCTGCCACACACAGGAACATAATAATAGTGTTGCCACCCAACACTGGGAAATGTAACAACAGTACCAAACACCCATCATACAACTTGACAATGCTGCCACACACAGGAACATGATAATAGTGTTGCCACCCAACACTGGGAAATGTAACAACAGTACCAAACACCCATCATACAACTTGACAATGCTGCCACACACAGGAACATGATAATAGTGTTGCCATCCAACACTGGGAAATGTAACAACAGTACCAAACATCCATCATACAACTTGACAATGCTGCCACACACAGGAACATGATAATAGTGTTGCCATCCAACACTGGGAAATGTAACAACAGTACCAAACATCCATCATACAACTTGACAATGCTGCCACACACAGGAACATGATAATAGTGTTGCCACCCAACACTGGGAAATGTAACAACAGTACCAAACACCCATGACACAACTTGACAATGCTGCCACACACAGGAATATGATGATAAGTGTTGCCACAGAGAAGCTATTCTCTTCACCTGCCTGGTAGCCCACTGTTCCCACGAGCTCGGTATAAAGAGCATCCCCGGGCGTGTAAAGAACTGCATGGCTGAAGTCTGCGATCTTCACCACGTTGTCATTGGTCACCAGGATATTCTGCAGGCACAGATTGCGGTGGGCCACTCCAGACAAATGCATGTACTCAATGGCACTGTTGCAGAAAACAAGCAAGGAAGGAGAACAGAAAATACCAGGGTGTTTTTGGAGGAAAAAACAACATATTTTTAAATTTCTAAGACTATGAAAATATAGCTATGCACTAATTTAATAAACAAATGGTTATTCGGTTTACCAATTATGAATTTACATCATCAATTCTCTTTATGCCTAGTGGCACATGACAAAGAGGACTTTCCCTGCTTTCCTGTCCTGTGCAATCTTCAGTGCAGTTTTCCATGTCAGAGATGCTGCATTCAGGTCCCTTTCCATCGTTCGTCTCCATGTTGATTTTGGGCGCCCCTTTTTTCTCTTTCCCTCTTGTATCCATGTGAGAGCTGTTTTGGCAGGTAAATCAGGATTCATTCTCATTACGTGGCCAAGCCATTTCCATCTTCTCTTGATTATCATACCGTCTAGTTTCTTGGTTTGTGACTTAAAGTAGTTTAGTGTTCGAGATTGTATCTGGCCAGCAAACTTTGATAATTCTACGTAGACATGTGTGGTGAAAAGTGGATAGCCAGTGTGCATCCTTTTTGGTCATTCTCCAACTTTCTGCTCCATAAAGAAGAACTGGCAAAATGATGCTCTTGCAGAGTCGGAGTTTCATTTCTCTGCAGTAACTGTTGGATAAATAAACATGACATGAATGAAACTCATCCCTCTCTTGACTAGGGTTCTGTGCGCACCGAAGAATCATGATTTCATCAGCATTTACTGAGACTGAGCGGAAAGTATTTGTGTCTTGATCAGTATATTTCTTCTTCTTCAGGTCACTGGCTGTAAACTCTGACGGAAAGTTCTGGGTATTCATTCACTTCTGGACTTAAATCTTGTTCCAGAACCTGAGTGTCTGACTCATATGTATGCAGACTCTTGGTTCACAGCCTCTCAGGCAATGATACTCCCACTGGGTCGACTTCTATGCTGCGCTTGCCGGGAAGGCAGTAGGTCTATTCTTGTCTTCCCCCCATTGTGGGACCCTGAAACTCACAAGGGGAAATCAGCATAATTAAAAGAGGCATGAGAACCTTCCACAAACAGTCAATGTTGTCCCGAAGTTCTGGCCTGTTTGTGGTATACAGGCTATATGTAGTAGGCTGCTCAAGGCTCTCCAGCTGCAAGGTTCACTTGTCTTTGTGTCTTTGATTATGTGAAGCCAATTGGTTCTAGTTTTTATTTGGTTGATATCGATTTCATGAATTATTTGGTTGAAAGTTGTGCCGTCTCCACAGTGGACTTTGGCTACAATGTATCCCGCTGTAAACTCCAGCAGAAAGTTCTAGCTGTTCATTAAAACTCTGGTCTTGAGTTTTGTGTGCACATCTGTTATACAGATCTGCCTTACTTGTAGGCAGACTGCTGGTTTTTTGCCTCTCAGGCAGACATACTCAGAAACTGAAGAAAACACTCCTATTTAGTCGCCTTTTACAACATGTTTGTTAAGAGCAATGGGTCTATTCTTTTCTTTCCTCCAAAATGTGGTCACAGCATCTAAACAGGGACTAAGGGAATATTATACTGTGAGGTCCCAATTTGTTCCACAGTGAGACTCTCATACTCCTATCTTCTTCTTCTTTTTCTTCACATTCACTGGCTGCAAACTCTGGCAGATATTTGTGTGTGTTCGTCCACCTCAAACTTAGTCTAGCTCCAGAACCTCAGTACTGAGTGCACATCTGTTTTACACACCTGGCTTATATGTAAGCAGACTGTTGGTTACTTGCCTCTTAGGCAGATGTACTCTGACTTTGATATACTTGTTGGAGAGGCAGTGAGTCTATTCTTGTTTTCCCCACAATGAGGCCCAGAACTCATGGAGGGTGTACCCCTATCTGAAAGCCCCAAGAACAGTCTTTTTTTTAAACTGCCCACTTCACTTATCTTTAAGCCAAAAAAGCTGCACATCAATCTTCCTCAACATCAAGTACCTTGCCAACTGGTGGGGGTGATTATGTCTCTCCACAACCTGCGATATCTTCAATGGGCATATATCAGTACATGTGCTGACATCCCTCCATTACATGACAAAAGGCTTTAAAGAATCATCTTGCTCAGTCTTCCTCTATTTTTTCCACAATTTTTTCCAGTGGTCACAATACGTTCCAGTTTCCTTCTTCTCAAAACAATTTTTAAAAAATGATGATTGTCCCTTTCTAATGTTTGTGATGAGTTGTCTTTGAGTCCCCACCTCATTCAAAACATCTCAGTTGTTCTTTTTGGCTGTCCAGGGTATTCTACAGATTCTTCTGCATACATATACACTTCTCAGGCCTCAGGAAATTGCTTGCTTGTTTACTAATTGTCCAGGGCTGAGCTGAGTTGAGATCACAGCACTCTGGGCAATCCCATGCATGCTCCATCCTTATCTTCAGCAGCCAGCGCAGAGTTCCAATACTGATGGTACCGGTCACAATCTGGTTGTATGTCCGTCTAGCTATTCCTCCTTGTCCAGTGTTCACGGCCATATGTTAAAACCAGCTCTATATAGCATGTGAGATTTTTTTTCATAACTTCTAATGACATGGATTTATTGCATAGGGATGTTCTTTATTGGCAGCTGATAAATGTCCTATTCATACCAGAATTGTCGGATATGGGCAGTCTTAGAAAAACATATTACATAGAATTTCAACATGTGAGATGAGATCAGAAATGTGGTGGGAAAAAAAAAAGAGACAGCAACAAAGAACTAAGAATAATGGCAGGCACAGTACCAGTAATTGATTTCACAGAACAACAAAGAATCAAATGGTTCGGTCATCTGGTCAGAATGGAACAGAATGTCAGCAGCTAAAGTGCGGTATATGGGGGTAGCAGGTTTCAAGACAATAGACTGACCAAGAAAGAGATGTGTGGATGGTGTAAAAGACACTACAGAAAAGCAATATGACATTAACCCAAGCTAAACAACTAGCAAAAGTCAGGAAACTACATTTAACTCCTCTCTGCAACATTTTACAGGACAAACGAAGAAGAAGATCCTTCATTTTATATAATGCAGTTTTAGTTTAAATCATGAAGACGAATGCTAGGAGTAAAGGCAGTCCTACAGGTCATCAGAGAACAACAAATGAAGTGGTTTGGAAATCTAACAAAGAATGCCCTGGTACTATCTGCCACCACAAGCCACACTGAAATGTTACAATGGGTATAGAGCGAGTGGAAGACCTAGGAAAATATGGAGTGATGGCATTAAGAACAGCTTTACAGAAATGAACATCAGTCCTAATAGTGCTCTTGACAGAGCTCATCAACAAATGTTACATCTCCCCTGACACTTCGCTGAGGTACAAGATGGAAGAGAAGAAGTAGTAGTTTTAGCCTGCCCCCTATTCTGTTCTTTACTTCTCTAACACATATTCAGTTGGATGTATCAGAGTATTTGAAGAATTAAACAAAAACGTTGAGTTGCATACCCTTTACAGCATACTGCATACCAGCCGCAGCATATACTGGCTGTTTAAGGTTTCTCTAGGCAACGTTACCTTCAGTAGTTTGCCACTGCTTTTAGTGTTTCATATTTAGCTAAGCACTAACATTGCAGCACTTGGGATATTTTCATGAGCACTGTCCTCGTCATCAGGAACCAGCGAAGAGTTCCAATTCCGATGTGCCATTGTTAGTTTTTCAACAGTTCAAAACTCCTACCACTGTTGAAATCCAGGCAAAAGGATCTGCTGTCTAATGGCCTGCAGCTGAACAGGGCCTGGAATGTCTAAATTATGAAACTGTGCTCATAACGGACAAACCATAGGTATTGACAGAAACATTAAATTAACTTTACTAAAGGTAGTTCCTTGGCATTCACTGTTGCTAGGTTAACTTGGTTTCCTTTTGGTGGCTTTTAATTCCTGATGCAGCACAATCGGACCTTAGAGGTAACATTCTCTCCTTAGACATCAGTCAGATAACTTAACCAAGTAACAGAAAAAAGACGTAGAAAGGAAGCAGAATCATCGGGCACACAAAATAAGACATAAATAATGGTCACAAATCCAGCACTGATAATGATTTCCTATGCTTCAAGCAGAAAGTAGGAAATAATTAAGGAAATCATCAGAAAAGCTAAATGGGAAAACAGAAAAGGACATTCTTGTATGTTGTGTGGTGAATTTGGCATTTTGTAAGACCACGGCCTTAGTTGGGTGATGTAGTCATTGTCATACTAGCCACCTCTACTTCTTAAGGCATTTTCTGGCACCCATTTAGGCTCCGTTGACCTGGGCTCCCAGGTCAGTTATACAATTTAAATCTCTCCTGAAATGAAATTTTGAGTTTTGAGTACTGAACTGGCAGGCAGTTGCATATCTAGTGTGTTTGACACCAATGTTTGGGGGAGTAGGGGTCATACATTGATGTAACTTGCACCGGCCATTGCTCAATTTTGAGGCCACTTAAAAGGCTTTGTAGTGCATAATTAGGAGGCCTGTTTAATGCCTCTGCAAGTAAAATTTAATGAATATCGTTTTCTTTTATTAATATAAGCGGTGCTGATCAGGGGTGAGTGTTTATATTTGTGTAGGGTTCTAGCCTTATTTAACACACACACACACACACAAAGTTTTTTGGCAGCCTTCCAACATTTGCACCCCCCACCCCTTTTTCATGTGGCACCCATGGCATCTGCCCTACCCGCCATACTTTGGGTACGCCACTGCTGCAAGGCAAGCAGTCATTACATTACCACACCTTCAACTGGGCAGATAATAAAAAAAAATATCCAAGATAAAGAAGAAGCTAGGGAAGAAAGAGAATGTCAAAACATATGTCATGGAACTTTCTAAGACAAACCTGTGCAACTGTTTCAGGTACCTTCGTGCAACAGGTTCACTGACAAATCTGGCATCATGGGCTCTCAGCAGCATCTCCAGACTGCCACTTTCACAGAACTCCAGCACCAGACCTGTACGTCCTGAAAGGTAACGTTCCTTTGTTGTGAGTCAGTCACAAATTTTAGCCATTAACTTCATAAGTAATAGTCATAATTATACAAGCAATGATATGCAACCATAGGAGATGTAACACAGAAGTACAACTTTATGGCCTGCAAGATATGACATAAATTATTGTTACAAATCTGGCACCTCCAAATGATAAGAGGCAAAACCAATTAAATAATAAAAAATAAACTATTAATAATAAATACAGTAAAGTGAAGACATGAGCAATATTCAAGGATATGGCAACTTATAGATTGGTAATTAAAGATTTAGTGCAGTGAAGTGTAGTGCAACATCTAGGAATAGGCAACAACACAAAATTAATAATTAGAAATATAGCTGTGCAAACCCTAGTGCTACATTCAAGGCAATCATTCTACAGAGCTGAATCAACATATAATGAAGAACCCCCCCCCCCCCCCCCCCCCCCCCCCCCGACACACACAAAAAACACAATTCATTTTGTGTATTTCAGTGATAATTATTTATTTTTGTGCTTCGTGTATACTGATTTCACTTTACAGAAAAGCACCTAATGAGATAAAGTGAAATATGCCAGACAATAAATTGTGCACTGCATTATTTGTTTAATATTTCAAACTGCTGAACGTAGATTTGCCTAGAAAAACCACACAACAGCCAGGGACTGTTAGAGTTGGTTCTGCAACGTCCTGTAAAGGATACCCAACTAACCTATTGTTTGTGTACACTTTTAGCAAAATGAAGAAAAGAGCAATGAAGTGGAGCCTCACCCTGGTAATAAATAGTGTTGATCAGTGTCACAATATTCTGGTGTTGTAGCCGTTTGTGGATGAGGATTTCATCTGTCAGCTGCTCTTTCCTCTCACTGTCTTCTGGGCTAGTTGAACAATAGTTTTTCATCAGTATAACAACAGAAATCACAGTTTACAACAACAACAAACAACAACAAAAAACTTGTCTCCAGTAGTACAACAGAAAAAGTATTAATAAAATAAGTTTTTCACCAACAGAACAACAAAAATCATGGTCAGTAAAACACATTTTCCACCACTAGAACAAAAGAAATTGTAGTTGGTAAAACAAGTTTTTCACCAGCAGAACAATAGAAACTGTAGTTAGTAAAACAATTCATTCACTAAAACAAGTTTTTTTCACCAGTAGAACTATAGAAACTGTAGTCAGTAAAAAAAAAGTCTTTCATTAAAACAAGTTCTTTAATGAGTAGAATAATAGAAACTGTAGTTGGTAAAACAAGTCTTTCACAGCAGAACCACACAAACTGTAGTTAGTAAAGTAAGTTTTTAATCAGCAATACACTATAACTGTGGCTAGTAAATTATAAGTAGAAGAATCTAGGAGATGTGATGAAACAACTGTGAAGTTTATTCAGACAGAGTGAAGACATAAATTCGGAATCTGGGGTGAATTTGTGTCCCTATCTAAACATTCACCCCTCACCAAGGACAATTTGTCCCACTATTCCGATGCCTCTTCTGATCTCTCTGCTGGTGCCCTTATTTGCAGAACTCATCTATCTGGTTTTGGAATCACACCTCCAGTGCAGTAATCTTCTTTTTCTTCTCCTTCAGTGTTTGTTATTAAAACTATGGTTCACTGCTAAGCTACATTATCCACACCTTGTGGTCAACATATCTAATTAGTTGCTTTTTTACAACAGTCTTGTTGGGAGGCAGTGGGTCTATCGATTGTTTCCTAAATGGAATCACACAGAACCCATACTGGAGGTTCAGTAATCAAGTCCAGGTTGCTTAAAAACAAATCTCCACAAAGTAGATTCTTAGTATCTGGAAACAAAATATTCAAAAACTGACAAACACACACACACACCACAACATACATTCCCACTGACACAAAAATTAAACTACAATGAGATACATATACAGCAACATGCACAAATAAACATGACTACACAAACCACTCAATATCAGACAGAAGCCTCCACACAAGAGAAAACACTACACAGGCACACACAAGAGAAAACACTACACAGGCACACACAAGAGAAAACACAATACACAAATACACAAGTACATATGTATTAACAAAACAAATATCATTAGACACAAGCCTCCACACAAGAGAAAACAACATCACACAGATACATACGTAAACACACAACAAACAACATGAGACAGCAGCCTTCTCTCAAGAGAAAACAACAACATACAGACAGACAGGTACATATGTGAACATAAAACAAACAACATGAGACACCAGCCTCACACAAGAGAAAACAATATCACACAGATACATACGTATACATAAAACAAACATCATCAGACCCAAGAGAAAACAACATCAATGACTCACGTGCTGGCTGTGGCCTGTTTACGCTTCTTGCCAGACTGCAGTTTTATGGCCACTGGCTGACATTCTGTCTCCCTCATCTCGATACCTTCTCGGAGATCCTGAGCCAGAATAATTGTGCCAGACCGGCCTTTTGCTATAACCTAAACAAAACGAATACAGTTTTAGTCAGAACATAGCAGAGAGGTCCCAGGTTTGGCAGGTGGCATTCCCGTGGAAACCAAAGCAGTATGAAATAGTGGAAGATTTGAATCACACCACTTCATAGAAGCCTGTAGTCTTCTCATCCGAAAACCAAAGGCAGGGAGAAGGTAGAGAAGAAGAAGAACATAAAGTATTTGTTTCCACTACTTCAGGTTCACTAAGTATATAGTGCTAACTTCATACTTTTATGTACCCACTGACAAATTTTATGAATTATACTATCAATGTCACATTAGCCACTTTTACTTCCCACAATCTTTAATATTAGCTATTTTTGGCAGCCTCTGTCAAACTGTAAAATAAAAAAGCATCCTTGCTGGCTGTGGCCTGTTTACGCTTCTTGCCAGACTGCAGTTTTATGGCCACTGGCTGACATTCTGTCTCCCTCATCTCGATACCTTCTCGGAGATCCTGAGCCAGAATAATTGTGCCAGACCGGCCTTTTGCTATAACCTAAACAAAACGAATACAGTTTTAGTCAGAACATAGCAGAGAGGTCCCAGGTTTGGCAGGTGGCATTCCCGTGGAAACCAAAGCAGTATGAAATAGTGGAAGATTTGAATCACACCACTTCATAGAAGCCTGTAGTCTTCTCATCCGAAAACCAAAGGCAGGGAGAAGGTAGAGAAGAAGAAGAACATAAAGTATTTGTTTCCACTACTTCAGGTTCACTAAGTATATAGTGCTAACTTCATACTTTTATGTACCCACTGACAAATTTTATGAATTATACTATCAATGTCACATTAGCCACTTTTACTTCCCACAATCTTTAATATTAGCTATTTTTGGCAGCCTCTGTCAAACTGTAAAATAAAAAAGCATCCTTGCCTTGGTGTTGATAAAAACACATGAGCTTTGAGCCAGTATCAGGTAATCACAGCTCCACTGTCGCAGCAAACATGTCACCCCACTGACGACCACTTCCTGTGTCAGCAAACATGTCACCCCACCGATGACCCTTTTCTGTGTCAGCAAACATGTCACCCCACTGATGACCCCTTCCTGTGTCAGCAAACATGTCACCCCACCGATGACCCCTTCCTGTGTCAGCAAACATGTCACCCCACTGATGACCCCTTCCTGTGTCAGCAAACATGTCACCCCACCGATGACCCCTTTCTGTGTCAGCAAACATGTCACCCCACCGATGACCCCTTTCTGTGTCAGCAAACATGTCACCCCACCGATGACCCCTTCCTGTGTCAGCAAACATGTCACCCCACTGATGACCCCTTTCTGTGTCAGCAAACATGTCACCCCACTGATGACCCCTTCCTGTGTCAGCAAACATGTCACCCCACTGATGACCCCTTTCTGTATCAGCAAACATGTCACCCCACTGATGACCACCCCTTCCTGTGTCAGCAAACATGTCACCCCACTGATGACCCCTTCCTGTGTCAGCAAAAAGTCACCCCACTGATGACCCCTTCCTGTGTCAGCAAACATGTCACCCCACCGATGACCCCTTCATGTGTCAGCAAACATGTCACCCCACCGATGACCCCTTCCTGTGTCAGCAAACATGTTACCCCACCGATGACCCCTTCCTGTGTCAGCAAACATGTCACCCCACCAATGACCCCTTCCTGTGTCAGCAAACATGTCACCCCACTGATGACCCCTTTCTGTGTCAGCAAACATGTCACCCCACCGATGACCCTTTCCTGTGTCAGCAAACATGTCACCCCACTGATGACCCCTTCCTGTGTCAACAAAAACCATACAGAATGTCCATCACTGTCACTTGTGAAAAAATTGACTCCGCAGTCTCAGTAAAGTTAATAGCTTACACATGAATTAAATGCATAAGGCAGCCGTCAGAAATGCCACACAAACAGTTCGACATTAGAAGTGCAGTTCATTTTCGATAAAAGCAACAGTTACAACAGATCAGCAGTTTCCCACATAATTAATCGCATAAGGCACCGCTAGTTCTCTAGTAACAGGTTACTTGCCATTATATTAATCTGCAGTTCACAATACCAACCTCGTTGGGCACAGTCAAAAAGCATTTCACATGTAATCTGCAGTTCACAGTGTGCTGCTCCAGTGTTTCCACCGCTTCATTATTCAACATCAATCATTCACTACCATACAAGAAGAACAGGCCAAGTGGTTGATTCTGCAAAACTTGTGTGGTAAACTGGTGCATGACAAGCTAGATGTTGTAAAGACCCTGTTGGGAGCGAGTGGACAGTGCAGAGGCACAAACAGATCTTGTGAACTGGAGATGCTGATGCAGCAGGAGGTGACAGAGGGATCTGGGAGACGCTCAATACTCAGCGGAAAGAGCAAGACTGACATACGGTCAGACTGCTACTGGTACCAATGAAAGGGGGCTGGATGCTGAAGGTAGGGATAGGAATGACCCTGGTGCTGTTATGTTGGCTCTGAGTCCAACTCAGAAGAACAGGCTAAACACACATATTTAGTTAGCAGACTATTGTGCTTGTCATGATTTGTTTTCTAAATGACACTGCCCATTTGTGTTCCAGAAGAAATCCAAGGTGCAACCAAAAAGGCTTTGAAAACTAGATGAACTTTTATTAATACTCTTATGAGAAAATGCAGAACAGAACAGCTGGTGGAGGACTAATCAAATGATGACAAAATCACAAGAGATTGAGGTTCAATAAAAATAAAATAAGCACATTTACCTGCAGTGGCTTGTATCCAATTTTTGGTAAGTCAGGCAAAATGGCATCATAATGTTTGTTTCCTGTCAACAATTCATATACATACCATGTTTACAATATTTTCAAACAATCCTTACACTGTAATAATACATTCTTTTTCTTCTTGCGACGACTTTATTTATTTATCTAAACAGAAAAGTTCTGATACAATTAACCATTTTTTTTAAGTTCCGTACAGCTGTGAGTATGATATACTGATTCGTTGGGCCAGTATCTCTTCTTAATGGACTTATAAGAAGGAGTGTTGTAGGAGGTGCTCTGTGATTTCTTTGTTTAGTTCACAGGGACAGTGGTGAACTACAAGTCCACAGGGACAGTGGTGAACTACAAGTCCACAGGGACAGTGGTGAACTACAAGTCCACAGGAACAGTGGTGAAACTACAAGTCTACAGGAACAGTGGTGAACTAAAAGTCCACATGGACAGTGGTGAACTAAAAGTCCACATGGACAGTGGTGAACTACAAGTCCACAGGAACAGTGGTGAACTAAAAGTCCACAGGGACAGTGGTGAACTACAAGTCCACAGGAACAGTAGTGAACTACAAGTCCAAAGGGACAGTGGTGAGCTACAAGTCCACAGGGACAGTGGTGAACTGCAAGTCCACAGGGACAGTGGTGAACTAAAAGTCCACATGGACAGTGGTGAAACTGAAGTCCACAGGAACAGTGGTGAACTAAAAGTCCACATGGACAGTGATTAACTACAAGTCCACAGGAACAGTGGTGAACTAAAAGTCCACAGGGACAGTGGTGAACTACAAGTCCACAGGAACAGTGGTAAACTGAAAGTCCACAGGGACAGTAGTGAACTACAAGTCCACAGGAACAGTTGTGAAACTACAAGTCTACAGGAACAGTGGTGAACTAAAAGTCCACATGGACAGTGGTGAACTAAAAGTCCACATGGACAGTGGTGAACTAAAGTCCACATGGACGGGGGTGAATTAAAAGTCCACATGGACGGGGGTGAATTACAAGTCCACAGGAACAGTAAGTAAAAAAAGAGTAAAGTTCCCTTTTCAGGCCTCTCGGCGCATCGGGCATATGGGCAGAGCGTCCCATATTTTTACAGACCATCAGCACTCTGTGGGTAATGTGGTCAGCATTACGCCGGCTGTCTTTACTTTCCCAGGACAGCCCATCCTGGTACCCATTTTAGGCTGGGTCGACCTGCGACGTCCCATATCACGACAAAAATCCACGCAGCCTGCAGTGGGTTTCGATCGCGGTATGCTGGCTTACGAGTCGGACTCGCAACGCCTTAGCCACGGACGCCGCACAGGAACAGTAGTGAACTACAAGTCCACATGGACATTGGTGAACTACAAGTCCACATGGACAGTGGTGAACTAAAAGTCCACTTGGACAGTGGTGAACTACAAGTCAACATGGACAGTGGTGAACTACACAGACGAAACTTATTAACCTTTTCGCCCCAAGAAGCCACAAAAACGACACTTCTGATCGCTACCATTTCCCTGTAAGAGCCACTTTCCCGACTCACTACATAGAGATGTTTACAGGATGTCTTGCTTACAAAATTAATTCCATCTTCATCTGACAGTATGTACAGCGTGATAATTAAATTTACTATTTAAAAAAAGCATTAATTTGTTTATGGCTTTTTTTACAGAAATTCCTACCTCATATTTTTCCACTGGCTAGGGTTGTTACCAGTCGACCAGGTCAAAGGGTCAAGTGAGTGTTAAGACTATATATCGTTTACAGACCCTAAGAGATGCAAGCCAGCAGACTGTATGCTGCATTCATTTTTTATGATTACTCTTTTCACTCTGAATAGTATTTGTGTTTTAATGATACACTGACTTTTTTTACTATTGTGTATCTGTGTGTTTAGTTGTGTGGCACATATAAAATGGAATGGAAATTGATAAAAATGGAAAGTACAGGTGCCTGGCTTTGTTTTTAGATCACTGGGGTGAAAGGGTGATGTTTGTTATTCCCTATCTGGAGGTGCAGAATGATGACCTGCCCATGAAGGTCAATTAGGTGGTAATCATCATCAGCCAGGTTCTGTTGAATTCTGAATGAATAGATGGCCCTTTCTTCCCCCAAAAGATACATCTCTGCAGCTTTGTTTATGCTAAAGGATTATTAACATGGATATGTTTTTTGAAAGTGACTTCATCAGAATGAATTTCTTTGTTATATTTCTATCAGTTCAAAAAGGAATGTTTCTGTCCTATGTTGTTTACAGGGAAACATCTCACATCCATCTTCCTCTTGAATTTTTTCCCCTCTAAGGCACATGACTATTGTGGGTTAGTTTCATGTGTAAATGTGCCAGAGCAATGCAGTCTTTGTAGTGTCAGGAACATTCTTGATCCACTTTACCTACTTTCTAAAAAAAAAAAAAACATGTAAACACAAAATGTATGTGCTTTGCTGGGATTTACGGAATTGGTATTTGCATTCAGGTTGGAAATAAAATTACTGATATGTTGTTACAATACATGTCACTGAACACTGGGCATTTTTTTGGGTGCTCAGTCTTCCAATGCAGCTGTCAGGCTAAGATACGTCTAGTGACTATTCCTATGAGAAGCTGGTTATATAAGGACATGAAATGGTTGGTTGTCTGGTTTGCTGAGTGGATGGTTAGTGGGATGGGAGGTTGGCTGGCTTTCAGTTATTTAGAAAACAGCGAGTTTTTAACTTAAAAGTATAAAGCACTGGTTTTAATTAGTCTGAATAGCCATTCCCCTCCCTCCCCCCCCCCTCCAAAAAAAAAGACCACGCCTGCATCTACTGAAATGAGCTTGGTGTACTGAATTGTCTTATGTAAAGGGTCCCTCGAACCATCATTTTTTTCTCAGCACTATGGTTGTAAAAAAACTTTGTGATGAGTAACTGAAACTTTGTAAACACTCTGGTGAGTACAGGCATCATTTTAATTTTAAAATTATTATTTTTTTTTTGGGGGGGGGGGGGGGGGGGGGGGGGGGGGGGGGGGGGGGGGGGGGGGGGGCAGTTGTTATAAAAAATGCTATTACTTCTATATTTGAAAATATGACCAGAATGTTTTATTTATAACTTCCATTTTTAAACAGACATATGAAAAGTATTTGTCTAATCTCTATATTTAAACAGACAGAAATGAATGTAATATTTATAACCTCTTTATTTAAACAGATTGACATGACTGTTTTATTTCTAGCTTCTATATTTAAGCAGACATAAGAATGTGATACTTCTAAACTCTACATTTAAACAGATTGACATGAACATCATAATTGTAACTTCTATATTTAAAAAGACTAAACTTAGTGTAAATTTCTAACCTCTACATTTAAACAGTTCAAATTGAATGTGATATTTCTATCCTCCACATTTAAACAGACATGTATGTGTTAGTTCTTACTTCTATTTTTGAACAGACTGAAATGAATGTAATCTTTCTAACCTCTAAAGTTAATAAGACTGACAATGCGCTATTTCTAACCTCCACATTTAAAAGACTGACACGAATGGGACAGCTCTCACTTCCATTTTAAACAAACTGATAAGAATAAGTTCTCTCTTCTAAATTTTAAACATCTCTCATCTAAATTTTAAACATCTCTCTTCTAAATTTTAAACATCTCTCTTTCTCTCTTCTAAATTTTAAACATCTCTCTTCTAAATTTTAAACATCTCTCTTTCTCTCTTCTAAATTTTAAACATCTCTCTTCTAAAGTTTAAACAGAGTGAAATGTATGTGCTAGTTCTCACTTCTATATTTAAACAGAGTGACAGCAGAGCACGATACACAGCTCCCTGATTCCACTTCCTAAGCCTGGCAAGAATCATTCAACACTCTGCGGATTTAGCATCATAACCCTACAAAACACCTTTGGTAAAATGCTGGAGAAGATAGTGGCAGATAAGCTCCAAGAATTTTTGGAAAAGAGAAATCTCCTTCCACGAGGATTGGGAAGTCACCGACCGGGGAAGGACACATGGTCAAATGCGGCCACTTTTGAGTTTGATACTTTCTAAGGTTTCCAGAACAGACAGAAAATGGTGGCAACGGCACTCGATTTAGAAGACGCTTACAACAGAGTCAGATACAATATCTTGATAAAAGCGCTTATGGAGAAGGAAGTCTATCCTTGATTAGTGAACCATGTATTATAGCTTCCGGACTGTCACAGGGATCTGCAATTTCACATGTACTATTTATTCAATGTTTTTACCTGACTTTGCTGAATATTGACATTTGCAGATGATGTTCTTGTATATATGAAGGGGAGAGATCAGAATCAAATAGCTGAAGAGTTACAGGCAACAGTAGATAAGGTGATCGACTGGTGTACAGAGATGTGTGCTGAAATGTGCTAGTTATTGCTTCTATATTTAAACACTGACATGTATGTGTTAATTCTCACTTCCCTAAACAGAAATTCTCACTTCCCTAAACAGAAATTCTCACTTCCCTAAACAGAAATTCTCACTTCCCTAAACAGAAATTCTCACTTCCCTAAACAGAAATTCTCACTTCCCTAAATAGAAATTCTCACTTCCCTAAACAGAAATTCTCACTTCCCTAAACAGAAATTCTCACTTCCCTAAACAGAAATTCTCACTTCCCTAAACAGAAATTCTCACTTCCCTAGAAACAGAAAAGAAATTCTCACTTCCCTAAACAGAAATTTTCACTTCCCTAAACAGAAATTCTCACTTCCCTAAACAGAAATTTTCACTTCCCTAAACAGAAATTCTCACTTCCCTAAACAGAAATTCTCACTTACCTAAACAGAAATTCTCACTTCCCTAAACAGAAATTCTCACTTCCCTAAACAGAAATTCTCACTTCGCTAAACAGAAATTCTCACTTCCCTAAATAGAAATTCTCACTTCCCTAAACAGACTGACGAATGTCATATTTCTAACTTCTATATTTATAACAGACTGACAAAGAACAAATCTTATATTTCTTACTTCTATAATTAAACAAGTTAACATAAAAGTGCTTTTCACAAGTTGTGTGTTATAAAGATGTGACAGAATCAACACACAACAATGTTAACATATGTTAAACATTCTAAAGAAGTCAACAACATTAAACATATATTAAACATTCTAAAGAAGTAAACAACATTAACATATATTAAACATTCTAAAGAAGTCAACAACAATGTTAACATATATTAAACATTCTAAAGAAGTCAACAGCGTTAACATATATTAAACATTCTAAAGAAGTCAACAGCGTTAACATATATTAAACATTCTTAACAAGTCAACAACGTTAACATATATTAAACATTCTAAAGAAGTCAACAACATTAACATATATTAAACATTCTAAAGAAGTCAACAGCGTTAACATATATAAAACATTCTAAAGAAGTCAACAACAATGTTAACAAATATTAAACATTCTAAACAAGTCAACAACGTTAACATATATTAAACATTCTAAAGAAGTCAACAACAATGTTAACATATATTAAACATTCTAAACAAGTCAACAACGTTAACATATATTAAACATTCTAAAGAAGTAAACAATATTAACATTTATTAAACATTCTAAAGAAGTAAACAACGTCAACATATATTAAACATTCTAAAGAAGTCAACAACAATGTTAACATATATTAAACATCCTAAAGAAGTCAACAACAATGTTAACATATATTAAACATTCTAAAGAAGTCAACAACAATGTTAACATATATTAAACATTCTAAAGAAGTCAACACTGTGGCTGAACTTACCAGTTTTGATGGACTTTGGTGGGTATTTGCTGAGTGGGAGTGGGTACTTGTGAGACCAGACGTCTTCAAGTTCACATGCATGTGTGTGAATGACAGCAGGCGAGCCTTCATTCTCAAGGTCCCGCAGCACTGTGACAAACTCATGACGCATGCTTCCCTGTTCAACCCAAATGTTACACTTCAACAATTTTTGGCTATCTTCCGAATAACGGTCCCAAATTATCGAGACCGAAAATATACCCTAACAGAGCCGCAGTCACGTGTCAATTGCGCACTTCCGGGACTATACCCCCACCCCTGAATTGCATACTTTCGGGAACTACACCGCCACGGCCGAGAGTATCCCCTAAGCCACTCACGTGGCAAATAAAATGAAGAAAGCTGCAGGAGATGCGGAGGTTATTGCTCGTGAGCCCCAGCCATCTAGTTTAGCCCCAATTCACGCGAGAGAGCGACGTAGGGAATACTCTCGGCGGTGGTGGAAGTCCCCGGAAGTGCACAATTTAAGTCGACAGAAGTTCGTAATTGACACGTAACTAAGGCTCTGTAAAGGCATATTTTCGGCCTTGATTATTTGGGACCATTATTCGGAAGATAGCCCAATTTTGTTTTTTATTTAAAATTAAAATTACAAGCAATGTGTTTTTTTTTTTTTTCACATTAGTGGCATACCAGTCATATGATGATACTTATATCCATACACACCAATCAGCCTCTGATGGCCAGGGTGCTCAATATCATATTTTAAAAAGTGAAGGACCCTTTTCCACACATTTCAGGCGGGTATATAGGGCTAGACATATACTTTATATATTTAAGCCACTAAACTAGCATATAGAAACTATGCTAATGAAGCATGCAACACTTTAGCAAGATTGCACACCGATTCCTACAAGAATGCCAACTTTTTCTGCAATACTGCACACCGATTCCTACAAGAATGCCAACTTCTTCTGCAATACTGCACACCGATTCCTACAAGAATGCCAACTTCTTCTGCAATACTGCACACTGATTCCTGCAAGAATGCCAACTTCTTCTGCAATACTGCACACAGATTCCTACAAGAATGCCAACTTCTTCTGCAATACTGCACACCGATTCCTACAAGAATGCCAACTTCTTCTGCAATACTGCACACTGATTCCTGCAAGAATGCCAACTTCTTCTGCAATACTGCACACCGATTCCTACAAGAATGCCAACTTCTTCTGCAATACTGCACACTGATTCCTGCAAGAATGCCAACTTCTTCTGCAATACTGCACACCGATTCCTGCAAGAATGCCAACTTCTTCTGCAATACTGCACACTGATTCCTGCAAGATTATTCACTTGATGCCTTCAAGAGTGCACACTAATTCTGCAAGATTATGCAATAATTCCTGCAAGAACACACACTGATTCTTGCAATAATGCACACTGAATCAGTTATTTATTTTGGCTGTCGAAGATATTTGCGACATTTCCACTGCCTCAAGTCTTCCTAATGAAAATTTGTTATTCCAATTCCTGATATAATCCCTACCAGCAAAGAAATGCCGGTGCAAGATACACAGAGTAGTATTGGCGCCCCAAATTATAACTTATTAGAAGAGCTTTCTTCAGATGGTTCACAATGGCTCACAGTACCAGCACTTTTTGGGGTTCTTTATTAATATCCTACCCCAGATGATGTCACAGGATAGTCCAACGTTTGAGAGGGTGGTGAGACTGGGTTTCCCGCTTTCTGATGCTTTTACATAAACCCGACTTTGCGGTGACCGGGTGACGAACTCCTTGTGGTCCAGGTTCACATCCGGGGGGTAGGCAGAAAAGCCACATTTCTCCCAGATGTACAGTATCTATCATGGAATCAAGGCTGAAGGGTTGCAATATCCATAGTATTAAGCCAAAGGGTTAACAGCTCATGGTTTCTGGATATAAAAAAAAAAAAATCCTATCAACCTATGTCCAACAAGAAAGTGCAGCCTAGGTCCCATGACTGCATGCAACCTATCTACCAACCCCTGAATTTTTAGACTGTCCCGTGACCTGTGGATTTCCCATGTTTAAGGTAGGATATAAAGCAACCTTTTCAAAGACATTTTTACTTTATTTTTCAGCACTACTGAGACACTCTGCAATGCGTACCAGCACCTTTTATGAGACACCCTGTGCTGAGTATTGGCACATTTTCTTCTAGAAAAACCCTGCTTCTCAGGAGACTGATTACTGTCTGTCTGTTGGGTGGCCATCCAGGATAAGGTTCTTCTTTTTCTTCTTCCTTCATTCGCTTGAAATAGATTATCTATGTCTGCACTGTTGTCTCTAGTATGAACTTCACTGTCTTTTATTTTTCACTCAGCGGCCTATAAAGTTTGACTTGCACCGATGTTTCTCTGGGCCAAAAGTTTTGCCTTGATATGTTGTATTTAAGACAGTCTTGGAGGACATGATCAGGTGTCTCAGGTGCCAGTCCACATATGCACATGGCTGATTTACCAATTTTAAATCTTGTGTACATGTGGCTGCAAAGTCGACTGTGATCTGTTCTAAGACGTAGAATAGTAACTTGCTCTGGTCTGTCCATATGTACCCTGTATTTCTGATAAGATTCTTGTAGGTTCATAGGTAATCAAACCTTCCTTTTCCCATGCATGCTTACTCAGTGACTCAATGAATTTGCTTAGGAAGATAGAGAAGGGCTGAATCCGAAGACAGTAACTGCAGTCTCTAAAGCGATCGGGGCTAAACACATATCAGTTTCATATGTGTGCCAGGGCATGCAAGGAAATAAGCAAGCTGATCTGCTTGCAGGTAAAGCTACTGTGGAGGGTGGGAGAGCCAGGGACCATGCTGATATTCTGAATGCTCTACAAGAAGACGAGAAGGAAGACACTTGCAAGAATCAAGTTATGACTGTGAATCTGCAACAATTTCCAGACTCAAGAACAACATGTTAAAAGGCGTGTGGCCAGACAAGAGCACAATGCAGGAAGCCATAGAAGAATAAGAAACCAACATAGCACTGGTCTCCTTAGTTAATGCTACACGCTGTGGATTTACTAAGGAGGCGATTCCAGCACTTGCGAGCTGAATGGTTCGATGTGCAAGGAGAATAATCTGTTGACTAACTAACTAGTAACCAGGAGGGGAAGGCAGACGAACAGATTTACATTCTGAGAGGGACATCCATACAGGAGAACATGTTATTTGTAACACTTCAGTACTTTTGTGTGAGTGTGTGTGTGGATATTCAGTGACATTTACATACAACAGTTCACAAGTAAATGTGTAAAATCTTAATGCTGAACTAAGAATCGAGATCAAAGCACTTGGAACATTTCCATATGCGCTGCGTCACAATTTTTCAGCAGCAAATGAAGAGTTCAAATTCCCATGGCACAGTAGCAATCTGTTTAAAACCTTCGTGAACAAATGCTTTCAACTTACCTGGGAATCCCCAGAGGCGGATCCCTGAGCCATGCATGGTGTTTTAGCTGACGAACAACAACTCTCCTGGCTACCATGAGTTTTGGAGTTGTCGCCGCTGATCAGGGCATCCATTTTGCGCTTTCTATCTTTATTTGACTGACTCAT